AAAAAAATCAAACGTTGGAAATTTACAAATCTGGTGGGAAAGGGAGAGCTTTCTGACTGAAGCCGCCTTTTTGTTTTAGAGCATGGCGGGCAATGAGAAGAACCAAGTCGCTGATGCACAGAGAAAATTTTTAAAATGTGACTTCATTTCAAAGAAAAATCTGAATGCCATATGTAAATAGTAGATACTTAAATTTAAACCTAAGAATTAGTGCCAGCACTATTTTATTTGCTGAAATGTGTCAAACACGTGTCGTAAAGTATCAAATAAAAATTCATATTTCTCCTCTCATTGTTACAGGACCAGCAAGAGAAGAGGCACTAATCCAAAACAATCTTCTTACCATGATTATTTGATGACTGAATCTACACTTCAATTGAAGTAGGCTAATGCAGTCCTTAAATGACATGACACAGGTTTTTACCCCCTGGTTTAAATGAGTGAGTCTTGTTACTCATTTCCTTCTTTGTTAAGCTTAAGATTTCCCCTTGGTTAACCACCTAAATATGCCTGCACAGCTGTATGCATGTGTGTATTTTCAAAATCACTCATGTTTTGATTGGTTTGTTTTAAAGCAATAGGAAATTAAAGCGCATCGTTTCATCAACAGTATCCTTGATTGAACATTGTACATTTTTTGAAATTTCTGTGTCATTTTCCCTAAGACTCACTGAATACTTTCCTATTTGGTTCTATGGCCTCATGGCCCAAATAAATGAAGTTTTATTTTCTGGAGGGCTTCAGATGGATCTGCTGCTTATATATTTGTTAGCAAATGTGGTATGAATATAGTCAACGTTGGCACTCTTTTTACCTTACCTCACACTTTGAGGATTGTATGTAAAGAGTCTAATCAGTGGAAGGTGGTTGCAAGCAGTATAAACTTTCTAGTTCAGGTTTTAGGAGTCGTTTGTTCAGATGGGTGTTTTTTTTATCACTGTTGCCTTTGTGACTTCCCACAATGGATATGCTCATTTGCCCTACCCACTGCCACCCATTTCCATCCATATCTGACTCATAGCAAACTCAGAGCCCAGAGTAGAAATGGCAACTAGGGTTTCCAAAAGAGTAAATCCTTGCAGAAGCCAACTCCCTCACGTCCCTAGGTCATAGCAAGTCATGCTTTCGAATCACAGACAGTTTAATTGGTAGGCAAGCACTTTACGCTCTCTGACACTCACACAAAAAACAAATGCAGTGCCTCAAGTCAATTCACACTTCAGTGACCATCGAGGACAGTGTAGAACTGTCCCCGTGCGTTCCTCAGGTAGTCCATCTTTACAGGAGTAGAAAGCGTCATCTAACTCGACATACACCTGTGTAGACCCACCTCAGACCAGAAGCCAACACCTAGGTTGGGGAGGAAACCCTGAGTAGACACTTTCCTACAGATGTTAGAACCAGGAACGGGATGCCTAACTCCTTAACACGGCCCTGTATGAAC